ATAATGATATACAATATTATATACGGAAACTGAATTCCATCTTTAACATTATTTTTCAACGGGCATGATTCTCAAAACCAACATTTATCAAACTCACTCAACCCAGCATTCTAGATTCAAGTTGCTGCAAGATTTTTCAACGATTTTTAATTTTACTCAATCATTTTGAGAGTTAAATTTTTTCAGATCCAGATCTGAGTTGAACTTTGAGCTTCAAACTCCTTTAATGGAGTTTGAGTCTCCCCACAATAAAATTTTGAGCTGCAAAGCTCTTTCAATGGAGGCCGAATCTTCTTGCAATAAAACTTCTAGGTCCGACACTTCTTCAATGGAGTCCAAGCTCCAAAGCTGTAACAACCCACATGGTCATATTGTGATTTTTGATCCATTTTCCTAGTTTGAATCTTTCCATATCTTTCATTTAAACAGAGCATTCCTTCCATCTCTCAATGCTTTGACAACCCCGAAACTCGAACCTACGACTAATCGGTTAACAGCCGACCGCTCTACCACTGAGCTACTGAGGAAAAACGGACTTAATTTTGGAAGTCGACTCTCGTTCTTTGGACCAATCTATGATCGAATAAAAATGAGTTCGTCACTCTTTTTCACATACACCGGAAGAAAAGGTTATTATATTATTTATGACTTGCGTATATGTATGACACAGTTTTTTATATGATCTAATGAAGATTAGATGTGGTTTTCAATTTTGAAAGGTTTAAGTTTGAGAGATTTGATCAAAGTCAACATTTCAGATTAACGAGCTTGAATTTGAATTCTGAAAGCTTTGTTAGTTTTGGATGGTGATTTATGACTTAGTTAGATGGTTTACATAGATCCCAAGGTGTTCAAGAGTGATTTGAGCCTTTGGTTGAATTTATAAGCTTTCAGGAAGCTAAGTTTGACCATGGCCATTTTTGGTCAAAACAACCTAATATCGGTGATTTGATAATTTCAAAAGACCTGAAATATGTTTTATGATTGAATTGCATATTTTGTTTGTGTTGGAGGACTCTGGTTGAGTTTTGGACACTCGAGTTGCATCCTAGTAAAATTTAAAGTTAAGAGTTGACCTCAGTCAAATAGTTAAC